GGAAGTTCATAGGGTTTACAGGGTTCAAAGGCTTACCGGGCTTCAGGCAGCCTCACGCCACAGGGTTTACGTAGAATCCCTCAAACCTAAGCCCCAAACCCGAAACCCTAAAGCCTAAACCCCAAACCCGAAACCCTTAACCAAAACATTCTAAACCCGAAAATGAACCCCTCAAGCCGCTTACCTTCGACGCACTTAGAGGCCGAAGGCATCAAGCCTACAACCCTCTGGGTTTAGGGTTTGTTGTGCCACCCGTTTAGGGTTTAGGGTTTAGGGTTTGGGGTTTAGGGTTGGCCCTGCTTGGTTCGTGGGCGCTTATAAGTAGAGTTTTGACTACGGGAACTATGGCTATAACCTTACTTGGGGTACTTCTATCCCTACCCATAAAGAACCCACGAATCTTCAACAACAGCCTGAAACCACCGAAGATTTCAACCTTGAGCCTGAAAACCGAAGAAGATTCGACTCCCCCCCCAAAAAAAAAACCTAAACCCTAAACTTATAAGCCCTAAACCCTAAACCCCCCCCAACACCCGGGCAGTCGTACCTGATCTCTGGGGCCTGGGCGCAGCAGGTGGGAGTTTCAACACGCGTCGGGTTGTGAGGCGAGGATTTTTCCTTCAAGCTCTACTTGGTAGCCCAGTAGCCATACTTAAATACGGGTACCCGCACCCCCCCCCCCCCGCCCCACCCCCCCACAAAAAAAAAAAGGAGCACCACTAGGCTAACAAGGACCCTAAACCCTAAACCCCGATACTAACTGCAGTTAAGGGACATAAAACCTAGGTTAAAGTTCCCATAACCCAAAGTTGGGGCCCTTATAACTCCTAGTTGCTGAGTACCACCAAAACCAAGGTTAATCTTTAAATCTTTAAATTCTGGGTAGCATTATGTATACCCAAAAAAGTTAAAGGTTCCCTACTTAGCTACGAAGAGCTCAACTCATAAGCTAGGCAGCCCAGTAACCACATTGTAATAAGGGGGGCACTTTTTTTGGTTGGCTACTTTACCAAGGGAACCCAGAAAAAAAAGTAAAGGGCACCACTGGGCTACCAAGTTAGGGTTTAGGGTTTAGGGTTTAGGGTTTAGGGTTTAGGTTAGGTTAGGGTTTTAGGGTTTAGGGTTTAGGGTTTAGGGTTTAGGGGTTTAGGGTTTAGGTAAAAGTTTAGAGGCAAAGGATTTTTGCCACTTCGGCTTGAGTGTTTAGGGATTGACAATCGGCTCCAGGGGCTCCGGCTGCCCAGGGCCGCAAATATGAGGGTGTAGTTTAGGGTTTTAGGGTTTAGGGTTCAGGGTTTAGGGTTTGGGTTCAGGGGTTTTAGGGTTTAGGGTTAAGGGTTTACGGGTTTAAGGGTTCGGGTTCGGGTTATTTAGGGTCTGTCTCTGTCCTGTCTCTCTGTCTCGTCTCTGTCTCTGTCTCTGTCTCGTCTATTCTCTCTCTGTCTCTGCTCTGTCTCTGTCTCTGTCTCTCTCTCTCTCTCTCTCTCTGTCTCTGTCTCTGTCTCTGTCTCTGTCCTGTCTCTGTCTCTGTCTCTGTCTCTTGTCTCTCTATTCTCTCTTCTCTCTCTCTCTACGCAGGGCCATCAACCATTTACAATCCAAGGTTTTTTTTCCTGAAGGGAAAACGAGCACCTTGTTTTGGTTAGTCAGGTTTTACATGATCCCACCCTAAAAGAAGGGAAAAAAGGTACCTACATATACATTACTGGGCATCCTGAAATCTCTTTCAATCTCGCAACACAACCGAGCTAGGCCACACACCAAAGAAACCCTGCATCAGCCGCGTTCTCCCTTCAAACCCTACCTACGCTAGACCCTAAACCCTACACCTAAACCTAAACCCTAAACCCTAAACCCTAAACCCGAAACCGCAGCAAACCCTCTAAAAGGCCCTGAAGCCGGGGTTGGCGGCTTGCTTGAAAATGGAGACGACCGAAGACGATGATCTCGACTCAGCTGCACGCAAGCCTCCCCCCCGCAGCAGAGCTCTGCAACGTAACATTATGCGAAGAGAAATGATACGAATCGCAGCAGTCATGATATTGTAATACTAAGGAGGAGACAAGCAAACGCATCGTATGAATTAAATACTCTCAATGACTAATCCTAAATTAAAGACAAAAACAAACCTATTTACTAACATATTATAAAACCAAATCCGACATAACACTACTAATTAAATAATCACATTGTCTAAGCAATAGAAGGAGCAGGAAGGGACCTCCTCAAACGCGGCAGGTGGGGCCTCTCGCGGGTCTGCCACCCAGATGCGGAGGCTGGCACCTTCCGGCGGTGCTTTGGGGGCGCCATTTGAGCTTCGGAGGGTTTAGGGTTTAGGGTTTAGGGTTAGGGTTTAGGGTTTAGGGTTTAGGGTTAGGTTTAGGGTGCCTAAGCCCTAAACCGCTGTGGAAGCCTAAACCCTGAGCACGGCACAGAACCCAAAATCCTAAAGCCCTGAACCTTGCAAACTACGCAAAGTTCCCCACCAATAAGCAGGCGAGCAGGCGTCACGTCGGGGTCCCTGGCCAAGAGATGCGTCGCCGGCAACCCTAAACCCTCAGCCTGGTTTTTGGCTTCTGCCACCTGCCTCGCAGCCTCTGCGGGAGTGGATGGCGTGGGGGGGGGGGGGGGGGGGGGGCTTAGGGATGTACAGCTTTCTAAACCCTAAACCCTAAACCCAAAACCCTAAACCCCAAGCAAACAAGAAATCCAGAGTACCCTGCCCTCTTGTCCCACAGTTTCTCGCCTTGGTTTTCAAGGGGAGACTGTCATCCCGACTGACCCTACACTTGCTTAAGAACCCCAACAAGAATTAGACATAGTATTGCCTATATTGCCCTTATCAGGAAGAATACTTGTCATTTGTTTGATGGAGTTCCCAAGCAACTAGTAGGCCCTTGCCTGAAAGCCTTGAGTCCTAAAACTAGTAAAGAGTCTCACACTCGATCAGATGGTGCGGGCCGGACCCAGCACAGCAAAAACTTGATGTCGATGACTTGGGATGTTCCCCCTTATGCGGGATTCTAACAGGAGGGGGGGGGGGAAGCACTACATTCCCGATCAAGGGGGTAACATCCCAATCGATGAATTCCAAGTCATTGTCTCCTTGTTCCACTTGACGGACGTCGTGTACTTCGACAGCCCTAGGGTCCATGTACGGGGAATTATTTAGGGTTTAGGGTTTAGGGTTTAAGGTTCAGGGTTTAGAATACTTGGGCTTAAAGTACTGACTATATAGGGAATTTGGGGCCCAAGTATATAAAAAACAAGGTACATGGACCTTCAGAGCAATTACAAAACCTAAAACCCTGAACACCCTGATTACTGAACGGCAAACCCTAAACCTACAACCCTGAAGCCTGGCTCTTAAACAAAGCCCTAAACTATGCAATCCCCAAGCCCTAGACCGCAAACTTAGGCCGCCCAGGGACCTTGCACCCTGAACCCTAAACCCTGTGCCCTACACCCACCCTGACCCTAAACCCCACCAAACCCTCAACCCTTAAACTCTAAACCCTATATACTTACATCCCGAACTCGGCACCCTTCAGAGAAGGCCCCCCCCCCCCCCCCCCCCCCCCCCCCGCCGCTGGAGCCTTCATCGAGGCATCGGGTGAAGCGGCGAGCGCCCTGCACTGTTGGCTTTTCGGTTCAGTTTCATTCTCCAGGCCTTGCAGAATGGGTTTAGGGTTTAGGGTACATGGTACATGGTACGTTGTCTGCATGTGTGTATGTAAAAGACTTGTCAGTTTTTGGGCTCCTGCACGGTTGCTTTCGTGCCCTGAACATCTCCGGCTTGTGCAAAATGCAGACGACCCTGCTGCTGTATGAAGTCTGCGGGACGCTCCGTGTGCAAATTTACAGGTGGAGTGCAGGGTGTGTCTAAACAGTGACACTGCAAATGTCAGGTACAGCATCCTCAGCCCGAAACCCTAAACTGTATGTATATGTGTATACTTTTGGATGTTCCCCCTTCTACTAATAGTCCGTAATGTAAGGACTGTTAGCACGAGGGAGACCCTAAACCCTAAACCCTAAACCCTAATCCCTAATCCCTAATCCCTAAATCAACATCCCAATGTATACACTCATACTGAGGGTTGCTCAAGGGCCAACTGACAGCACCGCAGGAGTTGCAAGGATCCTGCGCTGCATTCCTTCCAGTAAACCACTCAGGTTTTAGGGTTTAGGGTTTAGGGTTTAGGGTTTAGGGTTTAGGGTCACTCATGCAGATATTCCCACGACCTTCCCATACTATACTCCCCTTAGAACCTGAAAACACTCAACATTTGTATACTCCCTTTGATTTTACTTACATAAGAATAAAATACTTCCGAAGGGGGCTATAGATGACAGCCAACCAAATCCGCTGAAATCTGAAATGCTACCGCCCCGGGCACCCAGGTACGTCTTCTTTAGCCACCCACTGACACCACGGAAGCTTGACCCCCTGGTTCTTAGTAGGGAATGAGGGAATGAGGGCCTTGTATATACCCTTTAAGGGATTATATAGGGCCCGATTTTTTTTATTTCTACTAAGAACCAGCCAGTTGTAGGACAAGCTGCGAGGACCCTCTAAGCGAGCGGCTGTGGCAAACCTCTTGTCCGCCGACTGAGCCCCTCCTAGGAGAGCTCCACATCAAGAAGTTTCATTGCGGGTTAGGGAGTTTAGGGTTTAGGGTTTAGGGGTTTTTGGCTTAGGGTTTTAGGATTTTTGGCCACCCGCCAAACCGGCCACACTGCAGCGTAACACTTCGGGACGACAGTTTTCTTCTTCTTCTTTCCTACTCAACAGAAAGACGGGTGGCGACAGCACTTCGAGAGCCCATGTCATATGAATATTAGTATCAGCTATCGTGAAACCCAGGACCGTACCCTGCGTGCCCTAATCTGGCGGCAGGCAAAACGCCCCCTAAGCCTGTGTCCTGATGTCTACCCTGAACACGCCATGGGGCTCCTTTTTTCGCTGCAGCCCAAGATGCTCCTTGCAGGCCCTCGACTCAGTGCTCCTCTTCGCTGTCACTGCCCCCCTTGAGCAGGCGTCGTGTGGTGATCAGCTCCTTCGCGACCTGTGGGTTTACGAAAGCAGGGGGACCCCTGAAAAAAACAACAAATAGGGGGATTCCTGTTCATAAGGACCCCAACAAGGTAGCCCTAATTTCGGAACCCCCCCACCTCTGGAACATTGGTCTCATACTCCACCTTCTCGCTCAAGAAAAGAGGCGGTGGGGCGCCGACGACGGTCTCCTTGATGTAGGACAGGGCGTACCTGTACTGAACTTGGAACCCCAGCAAAAATTATGGTTTTACTGTTTCTTAGGAATTTAAAGTGCCAAAAAAACACAGAATGATTTCCAAGTACCCCTAAGGCACATGGGAGAGTACCTGATCCAGTAGGAGGACTTCGGGGGGCTCAGCATCAGCGACAGCACGCAGTAGCCGCACACGCCGGCGAAGGCAAAGGTGCGCAGGGACACGCACTGCTGCTTGAACTCCGGGTAGGACATGGCCTCGGAGCCAAAAGAACCCCAAAAATTCGGGTCATATACTCTGTATATACTACGATGATCCCTATATTAGGGTATATCTGAATCCACAAGAACCCTTTTATAGGGTATCCGTTGGTCCCTAGGTACTGGCTTGGTGAAGAAGTTCATCGCGTGCTTCGCGTTGGCCCCGAAGTCGGAGAAGCCAGGGCCGGCGACGCTATCGCCCAGGTTTCGTCGCGCCACGCGCAGGGCGTGCACGGCGCGAGGAGCGCGTCGGGCGGCGGCAAGGAGGGACATGGCTTCGAAGTTCGAAGTCGTGGAGGAGAGAGGGACAAGAGGGCGCTTGAGTTTGGAGGTTTATATGGGGGCAAGTTGTGAGCAAAACGAGAACCCTGCGTTTGATTAATCGTAAGGAAACCTAACGCTGCAAACAAGACAGCAAAGGGGGGGGCACCCCGCTGAGAATTCCTAGCTTCGTGGTTTCGGTTTCAGGGTTTAGGGTTTAGGGTTTAGGGGAAAGACCCCAAACCCTACTTTCTCGTAGGCTCTATGAAACCCTGATAGAACTCTTAAAGCCCTCAACCCTAAATCCGAAACCCCAACCCCTCCCCCCCAACAACAAAAAAAACAAACAAACCGAAGCCCTAAGATGACAAGTCCTGGAGTGGCCGCCTCTCGCAGCCTGAGCTTGAGAGTTGGGAGGGTTGTCGGGAGGGTTGGGAGGGTTTGGAGGGTTTGGAGGGGATGTTGGGGGGGTTCGGAGGGTCTGGAGGGTTTGGAGGGTTTGGAGGCTTAGAGGGTTGGGAGGGTTTGGAGGGTTTAGGGTTTGGGGTTTGGGGTTTCGGAAGGGTTTGAAGGGTTTTGGGCTCAGACTTTGGGGTCAGAGTGTAATTAGTGTTCAGGGCTTGGGGTACTTAGGGTTCTGGGGTTGTTGTAGCTTGACTAGTACTTGGGTGGAGGATTCGGTATCAGGTGCAGGAACTCACGGGAATGGAGCATGGGCTCCTGGATATGGGGTTGAGGGTTGAAGGTTTGGGGGCTTATCCTAAGGGTCCATGTGCCTGATTCTTCGATACTTGGGCACCAAAATCCCTGAAATATCATGCAATCACTTCAAGGCCCAAGTTTTCCCTATCTAGGTACATGGACCCTTAGGGTTAGGCTTTTACAACTTACGGTTTAGAATGTAGAGTTTGTGGCTTTGTGTCGGGTTTGGGAACTGGATCTGTTACGGGGTTGAGGATGTCGTGGAGAGAAGCGTGCCGGGTCGAGGGCTGACTTTCAACCTGTGGGGAAGCTCTGCTCTATCCGTGACCCTCCTTGGTATGCATATGTACGAAAAAGTCGGGACTTCTTGCCATTAATGTAGATCTGTGCGGGCTCGAACCCCTTCTGACACTCCAGCAGGAGTTGCGACTATGCAGATTTGCCCCAGGAAGACGAACCAGCGGCGAAGACACCAGGACAGGTCGCCCTAACGGTTTTGGGTTTAGGGTTTAGGGCTTGGCCACCCGCCAAGCAGACTAGCCACACAGGGTTTAGGGTTCAGCTTGGCCCAACTCCTCCGGCATTTTCTTGCCAAAGCCTGGAGTCCTCACACCTCTTTAGAGAGCCCTACCGTGGAGACACACAAAACTCAAAGGACATGGATGACTGTGAAAACAAAAGGCCTAACCCGAAACAACAGAGCCCCATGGTACCGGATTCTGTAGCAAATCTTAAGCCCGGAGCCCTAGGGTGTAGGGTTAGAGTTTCGGGTTTAGGGCAAAAGTCCTGTGGCTCCACACAGCACACAGCGGCCACGCCCTGGCCCATGCCGCTGCGAGACACCTTCTTTGTTGGTTTATCGTTTAGTCCTGGGTTGTTGTTGGTTGTTGTGTTGCTGTGTGTTGCCATAAACGATCAACCCTAAACCCTAAGCCCGAACCTCTAAACCCCTAAACCCCTAGCCCCTAAATCCCACACCAAATCGAATGCTCCTGGGTTTCTGGCCGGACGACACTCAACTTGGTCTTTGTAGCGTTTCTTGGGTTTGGGGTTTAGAGTTGAGGGTCTAGGGTCTAGGGTTAGAAACTAACTATAGCTCAAAACAGACAGACTCACTGTTCCATGCGATGCCCCACCTAGCGTCGAACCCCAGCCCGCGCGACCCTGGACACCAAACGCCCAGCAAAAGCCCGAAGCCCGAAGCCCTAAGCCCTAAGCCCTAAACCCAAACCCCAAGCCCTATACCCTAAACCCTAAACCCTAAACCCCAAACCCTAAACCCTAAGCCCTAAACCCGACACTCCAAAATCCCAACTCCCTGCTTCGGACCCAAGCCCCAGAGCCCAAGGCCTGGAAGCTGCTGGGGAGGGACTCTTAAGGGGGTAGAAGGAGGGACCCCTAGAAGGGACCCTAAACCCTAAACCCTAAACCCTAAACCCTAAACCCTAAGGTCCCTGAAAAAGGGTCCCTCCTTTAGTCCCTTTAGACTCGTATGCCCAGCCCCGCCCGCTGAAGAGGAGGGCTGCGGGCGGCGGCGCACAGGTTCATCTCTTGAAGGTTTAGGGTTTAGGGTTTAGGGTTTAGGGTTTAGGGTTTAGGGTTTAGGGTTTAGGGTTTAGGGGGGGGGGTGTGTTAGGGTTTAGGGTTTCGCGTTAGTGGGTGAGTTTTTTTCCGAACAGCCAAAGGTCGTTGGGCCCGCAAGAGACCTGTCCTTACCCTAAACCCTCAACCCATCCCAACCCTAAACCCAGGAACCTCCCACCTCCGGTTGAAACTCCGAACCTGAACGTTGCAGCAACAATGGCGCTGTGGCGAGTAACTGCCTGCATTATTCCAGAACCCTAAACCCTAAACCCTAAACCCTAAACCCTAAACCCTAAACCCTAAACCCTAAACCCTGTAGGCACCTCAGCTTCAGCGTGAAAACCCAGCTTAGGGAGCGAGTTGTCTAGGAGCTTAGGGGGTCCCGTAGTGGTGGTGGTTTGTTGTGCAAGTAGAAGGCTAAGCAAAACTATTCGTTGACCGCGCCAAAGAGCCTAGCAAGCTTCAAAACTGCAATGCCCTGCCATCCCTCCCGGCAAATATCGCAATTAGATGCATGCCAGCATCCTTCCACGAACAGCAATGGCCCACTTCTACCCAATGCTTTTGGGCCTCTGTATAGTTAGCGGGCCGTTAGCTTGCGCCCCCTTCGGCGCTTGCAAGCTAGCTGACACCCTGAACCCTAAACCCTAACCTGTATAAACCGTAAACCGTATAATCCGTGAATCCTAAATCCTAGACCCTAAACCATACAAACCCTAAACCCTAAATCTTAAATCCTAAACCCTTTTTTTGTCCACTGCGGCAGAATGGTACGGTTGCGTCAGCGTCACTTTGACCCTTTCGGGAATGCTGCACGTGGGGTGGAAGGTGTCATATTCGCAGCTCACTTACAACCACCAGGATGACTGGTTCTTTGCAGGGAATTCAAAGTTTGTACCTTCTATCCCCTATAGAACCCTTTATGAGGGAATATCTAGGCACACAAGTACCCGAATTCCCTACGAAGGACTAGCAAGACGACTTGCGCGTTCGGCATGTGCCCTTTTGAAGGTCTTAGGGTAGGGGGCTGAGTCTTCTACTGGGGAACAAGGGGCCCTTGAACTTGAAGGAGTTTGCGGATGTTTGGGGTTTAGGGCTCAGCCCTAAACCCTAAACCCTAAACCCTAAACCCAAAACCCTAAACCCTGTGGCTGCGAGGAGAATCCTTGTCCTCGCACCCCCGCGAAGTGCACCTCATCCCACCGGTCGCCGTGTAGTTTGCCAAAGCTGCAGCGGCACAGCACTGAAAGCCGGTTTAGGGGTTTAGGGTTTAGGGCCCAGACCAATGCACAGTTTTGGAGGTTATAGACGATAGAGGTTAGACGGATAGACTTTTGGGGTTTTACATGGTTTGGGGTTTAGGGTTTAGGGTTTAGGGTACACCAGGGGTCATGAAGAACATGCTGGACCTTGGGGCACTAGACGGGCCTTAGCTGAAGCCTCTTCCACCACAGCAGTAGCTGCAGGCAGAGACATGCGTGGCTCGACACTTCTGGACCACATGATACTGACCCCCCCGCTGCTGTCGACTGGCTGCGGCTTCGTCATGGAGAGTTCGGTCCCAATTCTTCAAGATACGCCGCATCAGATAGTCCAAACTCCCCTTAGAACCCTGCTACAAAACACATGTTTAATATCCTCTTGGGTTTTATATGAATAAAAACACCAAATTAATTCACAAGGGGGATATAGTAGTAGGATGCACCACTTCTGGCGAAATACAATGAGGGCCATGTGGAGAGTGTTTGACTAAGTCTGCCGACTCAATAATCCGCTTTCTGCCCGTTCATAGGCACCCTGCCGTACGTCGAGTACGTCGAGACCTCAAACTCTACACCCCAAAAAACACGGGCTGCAAGATCTTGGGCTTAGGGCGTATACTGAGCCCTGCAGACCCTATACCCCAAACGCTGTTGCATCAGGCTTCTCAGTTCTCGCCCCAAACCTAAACCTAAACCTAAACCCCAAAGCCCAAACCCTAAACCCTCATTTCAGTGGCCTCTGGGCATGCCAAGGGCCAGAGAACGAACTTTGGACGCAGAGTCACGGTTGAGGGTTTAGGGTTTAGGGTGTACCTTTACTACTATTTGCTCAAGAACCCCAAAAGAATTGCAGAAAATAATTCCTATACTACCCTTAATAAGGAAGAATATTTGTGTTTCTCGGTGTTCTTAAGCAATTAGTAGTTTAAATCCAGTAGACGAGAGTTGGAGGGTTTCGGATTTGGAGTTTTGGGGTTCAGGGCTTAGCCCCTTAGTTTGGGCAACTTGGTTTTCAGGTAGGGTATAACTTATGTTCTCTTCTCTACTAAATGATGTATAATCCCAAACAAACATATTTTTATGAAATGTCACACTAGAAGCCGCAGCAGCAAGACAGAAATGTGGGCTGGCACGCTCCTGGAATTGCCGTCAGAAGCAGAAGCCTTGTACATCGCACCCTCGCCCTCAGGCGGACTGGCGGACTGCAAGTTCCATCAACCAAAGAAACTGCTCGTCCCTAAACCCTAAACCCTAAACCCTAAACCCTAAACCCTAAACCCTAAACCCAAGGCCCAACAGGGCTGAGAGTGTGCTGGCCCACGTAGGCGCCCCTTTCTTATAGCGGATGCAGTCCACTTTGCTTTCCAAGCAAGCTTGATAGCCTCTAGATAGACAATATAAATGATGACGACAGGGAAGACCTCTAGTCGTCCCCGCTGTCTGACGCGTCCTCCTCCTCCTTGC